GACCTATAAGGAGAATGGAAACTCCTTTTGATATCCTAGGCTTCTGCACCTCCGCCCTTCAATGGTACAACCTCCAACAGTATAACAATGAACTCTACACCCTTTGCCTACAACAATCCTAGAAACAAACCTGAGGATCCACTAGATGTCAAATTCACTTAAACTTCTCCCCTCACTCAGTCTTCTCTGGTTCTGAGCCCCCCATTCATCTCAGACCCATGAACTAGCAATTGTTTTTGGCAAATACCTCAAGTTCTTTATACCCTTTTCTTTCCACTGCATTTACCCGACAGAACTTGAGCCCTGGTGTGAGTTGGTCATCTTCGCAGCCCCTAGCTTTCTCTCACAAATGCAAAATGCCTACATCTAAACTCCTGTCAGAGTGAACCACCCCACTTTCCCATCAAAGGCCATCCCTTCCATCTGTGACCTTGATCCCATTCCTTCTTGTCTTTTCAGGTCGTTGCTCCTTAAATTAACATATACATAGTACATAGTACACATGGTCAGTGGCTGTGCTGTGCATAGTTGCACAACTAGGAACCTCCCACACATCCATCAATAAAAGGGATGTTAAATAAATGTGCAACAATGAGACTTCTCTGTGGAATACTCCTTTACACTGTATGAATATATGTCGATGTGATGGGTTTAATAGAGAATCTGATTGGCCAATAGATGGATAGGATAAGGTTAGGCAGGAGAACCAAACTAAGGACATTGGGAAGGAGAAGAGGGAGTCAGAGGAGTCACCAGTGAGACACAGAGGTAACAGGAGGTACAAGTGAAAGAGAAGTAATGCCATGTGGCAGAATATAGATTAATATAAATGGACTAATTTAAGTTGTAAGACTTAGATAGCAGGGGCTGGAGAGATGGCTCAGAGGTTAAGAGCACTAGCCAGTCTTCCAGAGGTCCTGAGTTCAATTTCCAGCAACTATCTATAATGAGAGCTGGTGTCCTCTTTTGGCTTGCAGGTATACATGCAGAGAGGACATTGTATACATGATAAATAAATACATCTTTAAAAAGAAAAAAGTTAACTAGTAACAATCCTGAGCATTTATAATTAATATTAACCTCTTTGTGGTCATTGGGGATCAGGCTGATGGGACAGAAAAGTCCATCTACAGTTTTCTAATAGGAGACAATGTGGAAGTATCAGAGAACAAAATATGGAAAAAACAGAAAGCATACACTTTGATAACATTTTATGAAGTTCAGAAACAAATGTGTCCAGCTATGCCAGGTGTGGTGGGGCATGCCTTTTAGTCTCAGCACTTGTGTGGGTTCGGGACAGAGAGAGGGGGATCTCTGTGAGTTCAAGGCAAGCCTGGTCTATGTAGCAAGTTAGGACAGCCAAGGCTACATAGAGAGACCTATCAAAAAGCATTATATAAACAAAAGAAATTAAACAAAAGAGAAAGTAAGAAATTAAAAAAAAAAAAACAAATAAAAGAAAACAAACAAGCAAACCCCCACAAATGATAGGAAGCTAAAGAATGGCTCAGTTGTCAAAAATACTTGTTCTTCAAAGTACTGGGGTTGAGTTTCCAGCATCTATAAGGTAGTTTAGAACTTCCTGTATCTCCAGCTTCATGGAAATTCCATGCCTTTTTCTGTCCTCCTTGGGCACCAGCATGCACAGGTATAGGCAAACACACATATATCACATAAAATTAAAAAAAAATAATAAGAGAGGCGGGAGAGATTGCTTAGTGATTATAAAGGCCTTTTTCCTCTTCCAGAGGATGCAGGTTCATGTCCTAGCATCCAACTGTCTGTAACCCCAGTTCCAAGAGATGCAATACCCCCCTTCTGGCCTCTTTGGGCACTCCACAGTTATCCACATGCACACATGCAAAACCCTCATATACATAACAAAAATCTTTAAAATATAAAATAAAAATTTGTAAAAAGCAGGTGATAATGAACAGACCAGCCTGGTAAGAAATCTGAATGTAGTGATGAGCATCTTTAATTTCAGTGGACCAGCCAGGGCTGTATAGTGAGGCTCTTTTAAAATTTTAAGAAAAGAGGGGGCTGGAGAGATGGCTCAGAGGTCCTGAGTTCAATTCCCAGCAACCACATGGTGGTTCACAACCATCTATAATGAGATCTGGTGCCCTCTTCTGGCATCTAGGCCTTCATGCCAGAACATTGTATAGATAATAAATATCTATAAAATTTTAAATATAAAAAGAAAATATAAAATAAATATAAAATTTTTTAAAAAGAGGAAGAAAGAAAAGGAGAGCTTTATTGTGATGAGGTACAGGGAAATGGAAAAGGAGACAACGATATAGTCAGATGAAAAACATTAACTAGGTTGAATGTTGAGTGATATGTTCATGGTGCTTTCTTTTCATTTGTTTGTTTTGTTTTTTGAAACAGGGTTTCTCTGTGTAGCCCTGGCTGTCCTGGAACTAGGTCTATAGACCAGACTGGCTTTGAACTTACAGAGAGCCACCTGATTTTGTCTCCCAAATGCTGGGATTAAGGAGTATGCCACTACTGCCGAACCTATTTTTTTAAATGCTATTAATTTAATTTTAAAATGATTTATTTGTATTTTATGTGCATTGGTAATTTGTTTGTACGAGGTGTTAGGTCTCCTGGAGCCAGAGTTATAGGCAGTGGTGAGCTGCCATGTGGGTGCTAGGAATTAAACCGGGGCCCTCTGGAAGAGCAGCCAGTGTAAACTGGGTGGTGGTAGCAAACACCTTTAATCCCAGCATTTGGAAGGCAGAGGCAGGCAGATTTCAAGGCCAGTCTGGTCTACAAAGTGAGTTCCAGGATAGCCAAGGCTACCCAGAGAAACCCTGTCTCGAAAAACCAAAAAGCAAAAAGAGTAGTCAGTGCTCTTAACCACTAAGCCATCTCTTTAGGCCCCTAATTTAATTTTATAGTAATAAAATTATTTGATTTCTTTTATTTATTTATTTTTTTCAAGACAGGATTTCTCTGTATTTGTTTTGGAGCCTGTCCTGGAACTAGCTCTTTTAGATCTTGGCCTCAAACTCACAAAGATCTGCATGCCTCTGCCTCCCGGGTGCTGGGATTAAAGATGCGTGCCACTAATGCTCAGCTTGGTTTCTTTTAATTTTCTAAAAAGATTTATCGGGGGCTGGAGAGATGGTTCAGAAGAGCATTGCTCTTCCAAAGGTTCCCCAGCAACCACATGGTGGCTCACAATCATCTGTAATGAGATCTGGTGCCCTCTTCTGGCTTGCAGGGACACATGCAGGCAGAACACTGTATATATAATAAGTCTTAGGAAATTAAAAAGTAAAGATTTATTAGTTGTGTGTGTGTGCATCTGTGTGTGTGTGCTTTTGTGTGTGTTCAGTGTGGTCCATGTGCAGAGGTCAAAGAACAATTTTTGAACAATTTTTCAGAAGTGTGTTTTCTCCTTTCATTTAGGTTTGAATTCAGTCAAGCTTGGTGGCAAAAGCTTTAGTCTGCTAAGGGACTGCTGCAGTCTTAATTGTGTGGGTTTTTGTTTGTTCTTTTTCTTTTCCTTGGGGGGGGTTGGTTTTTCGACAGAGTGTTTCTCTGTAGCTTTGGAAGCTGTCCTGGAACTAGCTTTTGTAGACCAGGCTGGCCTCGAACTCACAAGAGATCTGCCTGCCTCTCTGCCTCCCAAGTACTGGGATTAAAGGTGGGCGCCACCACTGCCCAGCTATGTGTGTGACTTTTATTGCAAGTGCACGGTTGTGTGCAGTGCCCCCAGAGGTCAGAAGAGGGCAGCAGAGCCCACTTGGAGTTTCAGGTGGTTGTAAGTAGCCATGTGGGTTTTAGCAACAGCACCTGTGTTCTCTGCAAGAGACGAACCAATCTGCCTTCATTTTAGGCTTCAAAGCCACCTTATATTAAAGACAAACAAGGTTTATTCCTGTTTATGATTAAACCTTTGTTTCTCAAGTATTGGGTAACCTTAACTACAAACTACCTGTTCCAGGAAATGGCAACCATGTCTTTGTTTCAAAAAGTTGTAATAACCATCTTGCAACCTTGCCTTGTATGACTACCTTATTATCAACTAGCTTGCAGCCACATCTTTGCTTCACAAGGTTGGACATGTTATACTTATGTTCTGTGCCTATAGCTCCATCTATTTTGCTCACCAAATGTCCCATTTGGAAAACCCCTACTCCCGAGCTATAAAAATCTTGTTTTCCACACTCCCAGGTCGATCTTAGGAACCCTACTTTTAGGTGTAGAAGAGTAAAAAAGCTTGCTTTAATTAATTTAACCATGATGATTTGGGCCCATGGTTTTTCTCCTTGAATTTTTGGGATTAACTCAAGAGCAGCGAATACTGTTAAGCAATCTCTCCAGTTCCATCCAGCTCTACTATTATTTTGTATGTAGATGTGGGGGGTACAAAGTCAAGAAGCTAGAATTGTTTTTCTCACCATCTCTCTCTTTTTTTTTCCATGACGTCTTTTACTTACTTGCATGGCTTTTTGTATGTAAAACACCAGGGTGCTTGGTGCTCTGGAGGCCGGAATAGGGCTTCAAATGCCCTGGTATTATACAAGGGTAAGTCGGTGCTGGAAACCAAACTTGAGTTCTCTGCATGAGCAACGAGTGCTTTTAATCGTTAAGCCTTCTCTCTAGCACCTTTATCTTTCTGTTTGTTTTTCCAGGCAGAGTTTCTCTGTGTAACTCTGGCTGTCCTGGAACTCGCTTTGTTGACACCCTCCCCTCCCCGCCAGCCTCGAACTCAAAGAGATCCGCCGGCCTCTGTCTCCTGAGTGCTGGGGTTCCAGGCGTACGCTCTCACGCCCGGCTCCCGCCACTCGGGTTCTAAGACCGGAGCCTTATTTCAAAAGCGAATAAAGTGCCTAGAAAGTACGGAACCCTGAGCTTCACGCTACTGAGAAGCTCCGGATGGAGAAGCAGGGTTTCGAACGAGGATGGGCGGGGCTCAGCGACGCAGTCCTTAGGCCCCGCCCAGGTCGCGTCACGTACCGTTGGCGCCAAACTTCCCCGCTCTTCTCGCGGAGGGAGTTCCTGAGTCTCGCGAGAGGCGCTGTTCGCGCGCTCGGCAGTGGCTGCGGAGTGTGTGAGGTGAGACCCGGCTCGGTGAGGGCGTCTCTGGGAGCAGAGGCAGCGCTGCAAGTTCGGCGCGGGTGCGGGGCGCAGGAACCGGGGTCTCCAGAGCTAGGCTGCAGGGCGGCTGAGGAGGCTGCAGGGCGGGCCGGCCGGAGGATGGCGGGCCTGCCCCTGAGGCGGCGTCTTCCCCGCCAAGCGCCGGCAGAGAATGCGGGTGAATGGAGTTGACTGGATGGGAGGGAGGATGAGAAGGCTCGAGAGGAGGGAAGGGAGATGTGATATTTTTAGGGATGGCACCCAGGCTGAGTCAGGATGCTGGGGTCCTTTAAGTTGAGGCGCCTCTCCATGACAACTGGGAAAGTGGTACGTTTGTAACAGGTGTGGGACGGAATTGCCACTCGGATGTTGAATTTGTTACCCATACTTCTCTGGGAGTTTGAGGACCCGGAGGGGAAATAGAGACATCATCGGTGTCTAAAAAGGTTGTGTGACAGTTGTCAGGGAGAGAAAGAAGCTTAGTGAGCAGCTAATTCTTTACGTACAATAAGAGAAACCACTTTTCTGATAAAAGCCCCACTGCGTACTTGACTGGTTGTTTGCTAGTAATTGTACTTTTAAGACCTGTTTTCAAACTCCCCTTAGAATGGAACTACGTGTACTTACTAGATGCTTGGAGGTTTGGGCCGCTTGTCTGGGGCTAGAACCCATGCTAAGAGCTACAGTACAGTCTCTAGCCCGAAGCAGTACTATTTAACTTGAGTTACCCCCCAGCTGTGTAGCCTTCTGCTGGAATTAAAGGCTTGTGCCACCACCGCCTGGCCGTTGTAACTTGTGTTTTTGGTTCCCCCAAACCTGTGGTTCATAAAACATACTCAAGGGACTGCTTATCGGGAGTCAGTACTTTGTTTTTCTGTATTTATGGTCGTAGACATTTGGAATTGGAGCCAGCTAGATGGTTTTGCAAGTTAAGTTAGTGCTTGGGGAACAAGAGTTGATCCCCAGATCTCATGTAAAAAAGGTGGAAGGAAAGAACTGACACCACAGGGTTGTTCACACACACACACACACACACAAATAATATAAAGGCCTGCACCTGACCCAACTGAAAATAACCTTGAATTTCAGAGCCTCTTGATCTATCTGAGGGGCTGGATTGCAAGCCGTTGCACCCCTACACTTACTAGTAGTTTATGGGGTACTGGGAATTGAACCCAGGCTTTGTGAATGATAGCCAAGCCCTCTACCAACTGGATTACATCTACATTCTGTGTTGTGCATGTGTGTAGACAAGGACTCTGGTTGCCCAGACTGGCTTCCTGGGTTCCTATTTTAGTCTCCTAAATGTTGGGATTACAGTGCATATCACTGTTACTGGCTTGGAAGTCTTTTTTAATTCCTTTCTTCAGTAAATAAATACTGAGTACTTGTGTACTGAATTTGGGACGTAGTGGTAGAACACAAAAAGACCTGTCTTATTTTTGTTCTAAGAGACTACATTCAATCTAGGAGAGTAACATTAAGTAAATGAAACTTAATAGAGAAATGATGATTCCTATGAAACTTATGCTTGGCAATATTCTTATAAGAGCATTCTGGGCCATCAAGGTGGCTTATCAGGTAAAACTGCTCGCAGTACAAATCTTATTTGAATTGTATTCCAAGATGGTGAAAGGAGAAAACGTCTGGAAGTTGTTCTTAAGGCTTCCTTCCACAAGTGCTCTCACACACAGGGTTATTCAAATTGGGGATATTTAAATGGTCTGTTTCTCTTAAGAGTCTCAGGCTGGCGTTGAAATCTGTATAACTGAGGATGGCCTTGAACTCTTGTTCCTCCTATGTTGGGATTGCAGGTTGTTTCATCACTCCTGATTTGAGATAGGTTTTCCTGATGAGGTAATGGTTAAAATTTGAAAGAAATTAGGGGTAAGGGAAGAGTTTTCAAAATGATGTAATGCTATCACTTGGGGAGTAGAGGCAGGAGGATAAGGAGTTGGAGGCCAACTTGACCTATGTAAGACCCTATTTCAAATAATAAAAATGGTGCTCAATGGGTGAGATTTACTGTGATTGAAAAGTACCTGGATTCTGTTCACCCACCATTCAAACCTGCTTGTAACTCTTAGTTTCTGATGATCCTTCACCCTTTTGCTTCTTTGGACACGTATACATGGATGTTGCTCATAACACACAGAGAAATACATAGGTAAAAATAAATCTTGATAGGAGGTGGTGGTGCATACCAATCCCAGTACTCAGGAGGCAGAGACAGGTGGATCTCTGAGTTCAAGGCTGGCCTGGCCTACAGAGTGAGTTCCAGGACAGCAAGGGGTACACAGAGAAACCCTGTCTTGAAAAACCAAAACAAGCAAGCAAACAGAAGCAAAACATTGTTTTAACAAACTGAGTAAAGTAAGGTAGTTCCATATCCAGGTTCTTTTTTTTTTGTTTTTGAGACAGGGTTTCTCTGTAACTTTGGAGCCTGTCCTGGAACTTGCTCTGTAGACCAGCCTGGCCTTGAACTCACAGAGATTCGCCTGCCTCTGCCTCCTAAGGGCTGGGACTTAAAAGGTGTGCGCTGTCTGGAAACATCCAGATTCTTTACAGTAGAGATGGTTCTTCTAAGGAATTTAAAAAGAAGTGGTATGAAATGAGGTTGGTTGACATGGTATAAATTTTATTGTATTTGTTTGGTTTTTCAAGTTGGTTTCTCTGTGAAGCTCTGATGGTCCCGGAGCTGGCTGGATCTATAGACCAGGCTGGCCTAGAACTCAAGAGATCCGCCTGCCTCTGCCTCTAGAATGCTGGGATTAAAAGTGCTGGTATTAAGTGCATGTGCTGCCACCAGCTGGCTGAAGGAAAAATATTAAAGGAATCTTTGGAAAATTAAATGTACTGGGTATATTGAGAACAGGAAGAAAGTGTCAAAGATAACTTGACTTTTACCTGAATAGCTTGGTGGGTGTCACTGAACTGAAGACATTTTAGTTACTCAGTTTTGTATATGATGAGCTAATAAATGCCCTTGAGACACTTGATAGTTGCAAAATGGATAATAGGGATCTGCAGTCCCAAATTGTGGTTTAGGTCGGAAGAATAAAAATTTGTAACCTGGGGGCTGGACGATGTCTCAGTGGTTATGAGCACTGGCTGTTCTTCCAGAGGACCTGGGTTTGATTCCCATCTACTTGGCAGTTCACAACTGTAGCTTCAATTCCGTGGTCTGATGTCTTCTGGTCTCCATGGGCACTGTATACATACGTGATGCACAGACATATAGGCAGGCCAAACACCCATGTTTATCAATAGTAAATAAAACATGAGGTTATTTACTGGTAGGGTCTACATTACAACTTGGTTATAATTAGTCGACTATCTTCTCTACTTATTACCTTGGATGAAATTTAAATGTTTGGAACATGACTTTCACTGTGGATGGAAATATATTATATGATAGTTAAGAGGACTGTTTTGGATGGATAAAAATAACTTTTGGGTTTTTTTCTTCTAGAGGAAAATATGTTAGAACAAGAAGAAAATGGCTTATTTGAAATACCAGATTATGAACATGTAGAAGATGAAACTTTCCCCCCCTTCCCACCTCCAGCCTCTCCGGAGAGAGATCCTGCAGAAGCTCAGCCTGATGAAGGTCTGTATCAAGAATTTCACAGGCGTTCCTTTAACTTGTTTTTTTTTTTTTTTTTTTTTTTTTTTGGTTTTGTTTAGTTTTTGGGGTTTTTGTTTTATTTATTTATTTATCTATTTATTTATTTATTTTGAGACAGGATTTCTCCATATAGTCCTGGCTGTCCTGGAACTCACTCTGTAGACCAGGCTGGCTTCAAACTCACAGATCTGCTTGCCTCTGCCTCCTGAGTGCTGGGATTAAAGCTGTGCACCACCACTGCTGGGCAGTTTGTTGTTTTTTTAAGACAAGATTTCACAGTATATTCCAGGCTAACCTTGTTCTTACAATCCTGCTTTAGCAGATTAAGTTAGAAATGATACATTTTGAAAATAACACTTCAATTTTAAAAAATTACTGTATCCATTTGTGTGTATCTGAATGTATGTGGGCACATGGGTGTGTATGTGTGTATATGAAGGTCAGAGAGGACAATTTGAAGAGCCAGTCTTCCTTTCCACTAAGTGGGTATGAGTGTCATTACCTACTGATTGATCTTGAGGGCCCAGGGCTTAAATTTTTAAACACTAAATTTTGATTCTTTTCACTAGAATCAGGGAGTAGAGCACCAGTTCCTGTACCACCAAAGAGAACACTTAAAAGGAATCTACCCAAGCTAGATGCTACGAGGTATGGATAGTTACTCTCATACACTTACAGTATTCCACACAGTGTTTTTCTTCTACTCTTACAAACTTTGGTTGAATGATTTGGAAATCAGATAGTTCTATAAGCATTTTTTGCTTTGAATATTTTTTTTTTCCTATCATCAAGTTTTTTTTTTTTTTTGGACATGGCTCGAAAACCTAAAATTCAAAATACTATTTCTTTCACAGATTAACTTCTGAGAGAGGGCTTCCAGCCTTAAGGCATGTGTTTGATAAGACAAAATTCAAGGGGAAAGGTCATGAGGTAAGAAACATTTGATCGATCTTTCTTAGTACTGGGGTTTTGGATCCAGGACGAGTACTTGAACACGTGCTAAACAGTACTACTGGAATATATTCCAACCCTGGTTTTTATTTTAGACTTTTTATGTATTCATTTTAATTTTTTTGAGACCAGATTATCACTGTCTAGCCCTGGCTAGCTATGGTGATTTAAATAATACCACCCCCTCATATGTAAAAGCTTAGTCACTAGGGAGTGGCACTATCAAGGATTAGAGGATTGGAAGATGTGGCCTTTGTAAGACCCTAATTCTGGGGCCCTGATGGCCAATGGGAGAGCCCTGCGACACATACCAAAAGCAAGAGGTGTTTATTGAACAAGTGCACTCGGGTGTCAGCAATCTCAGGGAAAGCTGCACACTACTCAAAGGGTTTAGGCTCCTTTTTATAGAGACAAACCACAAATCAGCATGCATGTATGGGGCACAAGGTGATTGATTTCGAAGTATGATCTTATTTGAGAGATCACCCAAGTATGACCTGTTCTTTAAAGGAAAAACCACAGAATGACTTGGAAAGATCCCAGACTGTCTGTTGGCCTGTTGTTCCAGGGTTGGGAGCCTATTTCCTTGTTGTGGGCCAAGACCTGTGAGAAACTTCTTTCATACTCTGGCTTTCTCTTGGCTGTACATTTAGAGCCTTCAGTTATTCCACAAAGGTTTGATGATTCAGTAACTAGCCCTATTTAACAAGATCAGTTTAACATATAACCACTAGCTTCATCACCATAGTAACCTTTCTGTTCTCATAATTCCTGATCTTTCCACCCATGTCCACTACCATTCTTTGTGATTTCCTATATTCTGCTTGCAAGAAATATTTTTTTTTCCCTTTCCTACATCCTTGCTCTGCAAACTAAAATCTTTCACTTTGTCACTGGGCTTTGAGGTTTCAAAAGGCCAGGCCTGCTCTCTCTGCCTATGGATCAAGATGTAGCTCTCAGCTGCTGCTCTAGTGCCTTCTGCATGCCACCATGCTCCTTGCCGTGACAGGATAGTTAAGCCTTTGAAACTGTAAGCGAAACTCCACTTAAATTCCTTTTTCTTTCTTTCTTTTTTTCTTTTTTCTTTTTTTTAAGATTTATTATGTACACAGTGTTTTTGTCTGTATGCCTGAAGAGGGCGCCAGATCTCATTACAGATGGTTGTGAATTACCATGTGGTTGCTGGTAATTAAACTCAGGACTTGTTGAAACAGGTGCTCTTAACTGCTGAGCCATCTCTCCAGCTTTTTTTTTTTTTTTTTAAGATTTTATTTATTTATTATGTATACAGTGTTCTACTTGCAAGTTTTGCCTGCAGGCCGGAAGAGGGCACCAGATCTTATTTTAGATGGTTGTGAGCCACCATGTGGTTGCTGGGAATTGAACTCATGCCCTCTGGAAGAGCAGTCAGTGCTCTTAACCTCTGAGCCATTTCTCCAGCCCCTCTCCAGCTTCTTAAATGCTTCTTTGTTTTGTTTTTTAAATAAAGAGTAACCTTGGTTGCAGTGTCTCTTCACAGCTGACTTAAAGGATGCTAAAGTGGCCTTTGGTGAGGGGTGGGACAGAGAGAGAGAGACAGAGAGAGACTTTCTGTGTAGTCCTGGCTGTCCTGGCACTTGCTAACTTGCTGTATAGACCAGACTGACCTCAAACTCAGATCTACCTGCCTCTGCCTCCTCAGTGTTAGTATCAAAAGTCTATGCCACCATGCCCGGCAGCTTTGTTCTAATTTTGTATTGCTGTTTCCCCTCAGTGGGTGTGGCCTTGGGTGTGCAGGTATGGTGTTTCAGGTGTACTTCCTCAGGCTTTAATCTAGTGAGCCTTAGTATCAGCCTATCTTTGTTTCTTCAGCACTAAGATTACAAGGGTCTGCCATTGTCTTAGAGTTTCTATTGCTGTCATGAAACACTATAACCAAAAACAAGCTGGGGAGGAAATTGCTTGCTTATTTGGCTTTTACTTGTATATTGTTCATCACTGGAGGAAGTCAGGACAGGAACTCATGGTGCAGGAACCTGGAGGCAGGAGCTGAAGCAGAGGCAATAGGGGAATGCTGCCTACTGGTTTGCTTTCCGTGGCTTGCTCAACTTGCTTTCTTACAGAACCCAGGACCTCTTGCTCAAGTGTGGTATCATCCACAATGGGCTGGGGCCTCTCAAATCAGTCACTAATTAAGAAAATACCCTACTGGCCAGCCTATAGTCTGATCTTATTGAGGCAAAGGCATTTTCTCAATTGAGGCTCCTTTCTCTCCAGTGATTCTAGCTTGTGGCAAGTTGACAAAAGAAGCCAGTACAGCCACTCTACCTGGAATTTTTTTTTTTTTTTTCTTTTCTTTTTTAATGTGGGGCTAGGGATTAAATACCTGAGCTTTAGGCTTATTCTCCAGGCATGTAACCAACTGAACTGTCTTCCTAGTTCTGAACTACTATATTTCCCTCTAATTTCTAAATATCTGTGTCTAAAACAAAATCTGTATTCAGTGTTCTTACTCAGTGCTTTCTGAAATTGTGGTCTTCCAAGCCTTTAGAATTTCCTGCTTCCTTCTAGAAGTTTCTTAGCCTTATAAATGACTTTGGCATTGCCTTTAAATGCTAAAATCTGCTGACAGGGTCAGCTGTGAGATTAAGTCTTCTGTTCAGCATTTTTATTTTTATGTGTCAGGCTGAAGACTTGAAAATGCTAATCAGACACATGGAGCACTGGGCACATAGGCTATTCCCCAAACTGCAATTTGAAGATTTTATTGACAGAGTTGAAAACCTAGGAAATAAAAAGGAGGTTCAGGTAAGTGTGATTATCATGAATGTCATTCACAGTGCTAAGTAGTACAAGGATGGATTTAGTTGAGGCTGAATTGCTATTAGGGGGCCTTTTGAAATCTGTCTTGTTAGACAGGAAAATTAATAATTACTTGAAGAATAACTCTTTCAGATATGAATAAATGATTGTTTCCTCCCTAACTTATTGATCAAATGGAAAAAATGTCTCTTTTTCAGACCTGTTTAAAACGAATTCGACTTGATCTCCCTATTATACATGAAGATTTTGTTAGCAATAATGGTAATTATAAGTTTATTTATTATCACAGCTTTTAGAAATGGGTCTAGCTGGAGTAGGAGATGTTATATATACAAAACTGAGGTCTTAATCCATGTTTATGTAACTATAGTATAGTTAATAGTTATACCATGAGTTAGGTCTAGAATTTGATAAATCTAGAATGTACTTAAGTATGAGTGTAATGAGCTCCTCTTTATTCATCTGGGTATAGATTGCAGAGGACAACTTTCCCCCATGTCAATCCCAGGGATCGCATTCAGGTTATCAGGCTTGACAGCAAGTGCCCTTATCCACTGAGACATCTCCTTAGCCCAGTAATAGTTACATTTGACACTTACTTCTTTTTTATTAGTTTTAGTTAGCATACAAAAGAATATGTTTTAGCCAGGTAGGGTGGCATATGCCTTTAATCTCAGCATTTAGGAGTTAGAGGCAGATGGATCTTTGTCAGTTGAATATCAACCTAGTCTGCATAGTTCAAGAATAGCCAAAACTACTTAGACTCTGTCTCACCCACCCCTCAAGAATGTGCTTCATTTGAGATTTTCATGTGTATGTCATTGTACTTTGTTCAAGTCCATGTTACCTTCCCTTGACTCCTCTCTTGAACTTCATTTCCTAAAGAGATGATTGTAGCCTGCCAGGGTGGTGCACATGTCTTTAATTCCAGCACTCAGGAAGCAGAGTTAGGTAGAGCCTTCTGAGTCTGAGGCCTGGTCTGCATAAGAAGCTCCAAGGACAGCCAGGGCTACTTAACTGAGACCCTCCCTCAGATATATAAACAATCAAAAAAGACACAATTGTAGTATTGTTAGACATGTTATAGAAAATATTTATAAAATAGGGACTTTTTAACATTTATGCTGTGTTTATGCTCATGTATCATGGCATGGTGTGGAGATCAGGACAACTTCTTGAGTTGGTTTTTTGACCATGTGGGTTCTAGCAATTGAATAAAGGTTGTAAAGGTTGTTTTGAGAACCTTCTGACCTTATTGATCTTTTACAGTTCTTGCTATCACAATACACATCAAACTAGAGTGTTCATATGCATATAAACCATTAGAAAAACTGTCTCTGGGAAATTAGGTAAAATAATTTGTTGGTGTGTCAGGAGCTGTCTGTGGGGCTGCAATCAGAGCCAGCTGAGCGGTCCCAAGTTTGTACTCTCTGTCCTTGTGCCAAGATGGAGTGCAGCCATCTTTGTGGGCACCCACATTGGTGGAAATTTCTATTTTATTCATTGTGTAGACTTTTGAACTATGTGTGCGAACACATGTCTGTAACCCCAGCATTTGGAAGGTAGAAGTAGGAAATGTAATTGGATGTTTCTTTCCTGCTTTCCTGTGCCCAAAAACCCAAAGACCTTGCAGCCAATTCCCAAATAATTGACTTGGGGGCTTAATATAAATTATAATGCTGGGCTGATAGCTCAGGCTTGTTACTAGCTAACTCTTAAATTTTAAGTTAACTTATATTCCTAATTTACACTCTTGCCATGTGGTGGCACCTTTATTAACATGTTCCTCTCCAGCTCCTTCTGACTCTGCCTTTCTTTCCATCATTTTCAGTTTGGCTTTCCTGCTTAACTATCCAGTTCAGCTATTGGCCAGTCAGCTTGTTAATTATAATTAAACCAATCATAGTGACATATATTCATACAGTATACACAAGGATTATTCCACAGCATGGAGGTGCACAAATTCAAAGCCAGCCTTGACTACATAATGAGTTTGAGGCTAATTTGAAGTATTCAAGATCTGATTCAAAAGAAAAAATCCAGAAGGACAGATCCATGGCTATAGAACTTTAGGAAGACTTATGTGACTGTTCCTGGTATTGATTGCATTTGTTAGTAGTACAATGCAACCATAGACAGTCACATACATCAAAACAGTTGGTTCCTGCCGACAGAGTCTGTATAGTTATCAGATTTTCTGTGCGATGGTTCCATACATAAATATTTTTAAAACTTTTTGGGGGCGGTTTCAAGACTGACAGGGTTTATCTGTGAAACAGCCTTAGCTGTCCTGGAACTCAGTTGATAGATCAGGCTGACTTTGAACTCAAGAGATCCATCTGCCTGTGCCTCCTGAGTGCTGGGATTAAAGGTATGCACCACCACTGCTCTATTTAAAACTTTAACATTTAGTTTTAATTATGTGTACATCTGTATGTGGATATGTATGAGTGCTTTTGATGCACCTCTGCTTGACGGAGACCCTTTGCCATGTCTTAGATTTTTGCATTTCTTTTTTTTTACTAGTAATATACAGGGTGGGTAATAATACACTCCACACAGAATCTTCTTATGGATTAAATCAGTGGTTCTCAACCTTCCTAATGCTATGACCCTTTAATACAGTTCCTCATATTGTGGTGACCCCTAACCGTGAAATTATTTTTGTTGCTACTTCAACAAAATAATTTTGCTGTTGTTATTAATCTTAATGTAAATATCTGTTATACAGGATATTTGATATGTGACCCCTGTGAAAGGGTCGTTCAACTGCCAAAGGGTTTGCTACCAACTGGATGAAGACTGATGGTTTAAATAGTCTAGGATTTAAAATTTTTTTGGAATGATGGTATTTATTAATGGCATACAATCACGTATGTCAAACGAATTACTATGGCACTAAATTCCAGAGCCTATATTCCTGGGTTAGTTGATTTATTTAGCAGTACTTTTTTTGAGCTGTCTACTATTGTGCTGAAGGTTCAAGGATAAAAGATGAATAAAATTAAGCCTCCAAGTTTATAGCATACAGATTGAGGTAGACAAATAATATTGTCATTAGTTTGATGGAACTTATAATTAAACATGAGTTGGGCCCAGAATGAGGGAATGAGGTGCAAAGGACAATAGTTGTATTAAATGGGGAAGCTTCATAGAGGAGGTATCATAAGTTTTTTTTTTTTTTTTTTTTTTTTTTTTTTTTTTTTTTTTTTGGAGGCAGGGTTTCTCTGTATTGCCTTGGTTGTTCTGGAACTCCCTCTGTAGACCAGTCTGGGCTCCATCTGCCTCTGCCTCTCAAGTGTTAGGATTAAAGGAGTGTGCTACCCACTGCCTGGTCACAGGTGTTTTTAATTAAGTAGTAAAGGTCAGTCAAAGGGGGTTTGGGGTAGAGGTATCCATTTGTACATAGGTGTAAAGCCCTCTCTACGATCTCTTCCACGAATCAGACGAAGGCCTAGAGATTGAAATAAAGAGACAATGCAGCAGGTCATTGGTTCAGTGGCAATATCGGAACGCTGAATGCCATTTATTGAGGGGGAGAAACTGGCTTAAATACTGACTTACAGCACAGTGGAAAATAACAGGATTTTTAGGCTTAGCTCCTCTCCACGAGGTGTTGTTACCAGGTGTGTGTTTTCAAAACGGGAAGAGTACCAACAACAGCTTTGGGGCAAGGAGTTCCAGCCAATAGCTTCAGGCTTGCTCAAGGTGCCTTGGGGGTCCATGCAGGGCTCTACACGTAGGCATAAATTAACAAATCATGCAGAAAATTATAAGTATGTTGACATGTAAAATACATAGGAGAGACCTAAATCCAAGATCCTTATATTTTTCTTTCATCTTTTTGCTTGCTTATTTGTAAACCTGAGTGCTAGGATTTCAGGCATCAATGTATGTTGAACAAATAGATCCTAAACTGTAAAAAGTTAAGTGGTTTCTGGGACTGGGAAGATAGCTCAGTGATAAAGTGCTTGGTTTGCATGAAGATTCTTATTTGGATCCCCAGCACCCATGTAAAAGCCAGGTGTAGTAGCATATCCTATAGTCCTAGTCCTGGGAGGTAGAGACAAGACCTAGGACTTACTGAGCAGCCAGTCTAACTCAGTTATTGACCTCCAGGTTCAGTGAGAGACCTTGTCTCAAAAGATAAGGTGGAAGTGATACAGGAAGACACCTGATGGTGACCTTGCCTCCATAGAAGCATGCATATACACACCACATTCACACACACAGAATGTTTGAGTATTGGATTAACTCATCTTAGTTAATGCATGTACTTTTATCTTATTATAAAATTAAAATGCTTTGCTTTTATCAAAAATTTATTACTGTACAACTTTAAAGTAAGCATAGTGTGATTGAGTAATTCTCCCAAAATTCTTGGGTTGGGGCTGGTGCTGTTAAGATGGTTTAGCAGTTAAAGGCACTTGCTACCAATCTCACAACAGAGATCAGTCCCTGGGACTCATGTGCTGGAGGAGAAGATAACTCCTATGAATTGTCCCCTAACCTCCATAGCATGGCATTCATGTGCACATAAATACACACTCACCTGTGCATGATGAATGGATGTAACTGAGGAAGTTTTGGGCTAATACTTAATATAAGTGTTTGAAAATAGGACTAGATTAATATTTCAAATTTTGGTTTTACACATAGAGATGTACACATCCCAATAGAAATTGGAATCACATGAACTTTGCTTAATGAGTCTTTTATTTGTTTTTGTCTTTTTGAGACTGGGTTTCTCTGTATAGCTCTGACTGTCCTGGAACTTGCTCAGTATACCAAGCTGGCCTCAAGCTCACCTGTAACTCCAGTTTCAGTGTCAGGAGATCAGACAACCTTTTTTTAGCCTCCTTGGGCACCAGCCACACACATTGTACTGGCCATGTAGGCACAATACCTATAAAGGTAAATATGTTGTTGTGCCCAAGTCATGAAGATCCCCAAAGAGACCACCAGGGAGATAGACCCACCGAAGTGTAAAAGCAAGGTTTATTCATCCAACCTTGACAGGGACTTCATTTAGCTGGCTCTTGAAGCAGCCTCCAGAGAAAGTGAATTCTGTCTACTATAGGATTTTTTTTCTTTTCTTTCTCTTTTTTTTCCTTCAATTTTTGGTTATTTGAGACAGGGTTTCTCAGAGCCTGTCCTGGAACTAGCCCTGTAGACCAGGCTAGTCTCGAACTCACAGAGATCCACCTGCCTCTGCCTCCCTAGTGCTGGGATTAAAGGCATGTTTCACCAACACCTGGCTTCTATCTAAGTCTTAAAAGGAAGGTTATAGGTTTGCTCACAACTAGAGACTAGGGGCTATCTGGAGTTTCTTTGTGTCATATGCTGAGCCAGAGGCCTAGATGTCTTTTCTGTAGCCTGCCATGGTTGCTAAAGCAGGAGGCTGAGTGAGGGTCTGATCCCTTCAATGTAAGTAAAAAAAAATTGTGTGTGTATGCCAAAGGGATCTATGTTGAGTGTCTTTTGTCATTCTCTACATTAGTATTTTAGACTTGGTTTATTTGTTAGTGTTTTGCCCACATGTATGTATGTGCATAATGTGGATGTGTGGTATCTTTGGAAGTCAGAAGAGTTTTTGAGCTACTGTGTGGGTGCTGAAAACTGAACCTCTATAAGAAAAACAAATGTTCTTTACCACTGAGCCATCTACCCAGCCTTTCCATGTTATTTTTTTGAGAAAGTGTCTCTCACCATTTTCCTCCCATGCCTATGTTAAAGTGCTGGGGATCTGAAGTAATGGTTGCACAAAAAGCATCAGTACCCTTTGATTACCTTCCATCCCTAGCACTTCATTTTTTGAAGCCCATTCATAAATGCTGGAAATTTTATTGTTACTGATATTTTTTTCTTTTTTCTTTTTCTATAATTATTATATTTTGGAATACTATACTAAATATATATTTTTATTTTTTTGGTCTTTTGAGACAGGGTTTCTCTGGCTGTCGTGGAACTTGCTCTGTAGACTAAAGGCATGCATCACCACTGCCCTGCTGTAATTTATATTTTTAGAATTTGTCTACTTTGTATGTGTGAATATCATCCACCTTTATTTGTTAAGCCATCTTGCTGGGCCTCTTTCTTCACTTGGTTGTTTTTCTCCAAAGGAAATTGGGTATTAGACTTTTTTGTTTTTGTTTTTCAAGGGAAGTTTTCACTGTGTAGTTCTGTATGTCCTGGAACTTCCTCTGTAGATCAGGCTGGCCTTAAACTCATAGAAATCTGCATGCCTTTGCCTCCTAAATGCTGGGATTAAAGGTGTGCCATTACTGCCTGCCTGGCAAGGACAAAATAAATAAATAAATAAATAAAAAATATATATATACATACATATATATATATATATATATTCATATTTTTTTGAGACAGGGTTTCACTGAATTGTTCTTGCTGTCCTAGAACTTGCTTTGTAGACCAAGCTGACCTTGAACTCACAGAGATCCCCCTGCCTCTTTATTGTCACTTAAGTCAGTCTTCTGTCTTAAAATTGGATCAACTTCTTATTTTATTAAAGGTAAAAGCTAGAATTTCCCCTGGATAAATATAGTTAATTTTCTTATCCTCTTCAAACTGTGTTTAGATGTCAATTCATATCTTCCCGACTACATTCCCATTCATTACAGATTCTCTTGGCAGCTTTCTCTTCTTTTTCCATTTTTATTTTAGGACAGGGTCTCAAGTCTGATAGTAGTGGTGCATGCCTTTGTTCCCAGCACTTGGGAAGCAGAGGCAGGTGGGTCTGTGTGAGTTTGAGGCCAGCCTGGTTTACAGAGTGAGTTCCAGGACAGCCAGCCCTAAATGGAGAGACAGTTTCTTTCTTTCTTTTTTTTTCTTTTGGTTTTTTGAGACAGGGTTTCTCTGTGGTTTTGGAGGCTGTCCCGGAACTAGCTCTTGTAGACCAGGCTGGTCTCAAACTCACAGAGATCCATCTGCCTCCCTAGTGCTGGGGTTAAAGGCATGGGGCACTAATGCCAGGCTGAGAAACACAGTTTCAAACAAACAAACAAACAAGGTTTTCAAGTAGCCTAGGATAGCTTTGAACTTGCTAAGTAGCAGAACCTTGAACTTCTCATTCTTCTGCTTGCCTTGACCTCTATCTGTTGTTTTGGAATTACAGGTCTGTACTACCATATTTGACTTCTTTATGTAGTTTTATTTTTGAGACATGGTCTTTATTTCTGAAGCTGACCATGAGGTCACTACAGATGATCACCCCAGCCTCTGTCTCCCAAATAGAGGAATTATAGCATTTTCCCACCTCACTGAGTTTATGCAGTACTGGAGATCAAATCAAGGGCTTTGGCATCCTATCCCAACCAAGCTACCTACTCAGACTCCTTTTACATATTTAATATGTCCATTGGATGTATTTTCCAGTTCACCATAAGAGTGATTTGTAGATATTTCTTGTATTTACTTGAATCAGCCATACTGGCCACATTCTCATACCTTACAGATTGTTTCTTCAGGTCAGGCTATTTGCCACAGGTCAGGCTGTTTGCCACTTTAAAGCTTCTTTGGTTGAATGCTGTGTAAGTTCTTTTTCCAATTACTCTAATAGTACAGTTGTATTAACTATTTATTTTCTGCCACAGATGAAGCTGAAGAAACGAATGCCCTGGATGCAACTGCTATTGGATTTGATCCTTTTTTGACAAGCTCATCAGACAGCAACAAGTTGGCATCTGAATCAAGTAGAAGCCTAACAGAAGAACAGCAACAGAGAATTGAGAGAAATAAACAGCTGGCCTTGGAAAGAAGGCAGGCAAAGCTACTGAGTAATAGCCAGTCTCTAGAAAATGGTAAATTTTATGCTGGTTTTTATGAGTTGCCATATAATATCAAGGGCATGTAGGAAATTTTAACATCTTTACTATCTCTTGAAATAAAATACCTCTAGGAATAGGAAAGTGATATTAAGTTTATGTATATTTTAGAGAGTATGTCAGTGTATGTGTGTTTGCTATTTGGAATCTGTAAAGAATGTTTAAGTCTAGGCTGTTTTTTTTTTTTTTGGGATAATTCTTTTAGAGTGCCAAATCCTTCAACAATGTATTCTTCTCTGACTTCTTATCTTAAAGCACTTTACACATATTTTTAGGATCATACTTAGGAAAATTATTATTGTGGAATCAATATATTTTGTATTTTGGTATTGAACCCAGCTAGGCAGGTACTATACTACTGAGCTAGATTCTTAGTGCTCTCTTTCTCTCTTTCTCTCCATTTATTCATTCATTTACTTATTCAATTTATTTGCTTGTTTTTGTTTTGTTTTGTTTTGAGGCAGGATCTTAAACTAATTTTGTAACCTAGCCAGGACTTGAAATTGCCTTTATCCTTTCTCAGCCTTGTAAAGCTCAGATTATAGGCTTGCACCACTGCTCCAGCTTGTGATACTTTTTAATACAACGTCTTCCGTGCTAACTCAGGATTAGCAGTAATTTTCTGTGATGTAAGTAGGGTACTAAAATGCCTTTTTAGGGGATGACAGATACTAGAGATTGAAACAGGGTCTTGCACAAGTTAGGTAAGCACTCTTTCAAGGAACTTAATTTCAGTCCTTCCTTAAATTTTAATTTTGAGTTTAGGTCTTACTAAGTTACCCAAGTAACTTCCCACTTACCCACTTAATGATCTGCTTCAGCCTCCTAAGGTGATGGGAATGCAGTTGTGTGCCATGCACTTGGCTACTAAAATGCTTTCTAATACATTGTCCCACTTTTGTGAGTTACACTTTTTATAGTTTACTTGTCTGTAGCAACTCTTTTTCTCTTTAAAAATTGTCTTAAACTTCCAGTTTTCCCTCTCTCCCTCCCTCCCTTCAACAAACCCTAGTTTTGAGGGCTGATTTTCAGTAGATCTCCTTGAGGGAGCTGCTCTGCTACATATGAAATCCCAACCCAGAAGCAGGTGGTTTAACTTGCATTCAATATAACAGGCGAGAGGGTGGTTCCCTTTCTGTCCGCACCGGGAGGAGTGGCTCTCTACAACCAGGTCCAAAAGCACAGCTAAGACCCACCACATGTAGGAATGAGACTTACTGCTGGTGGGGATAGACTGGGCCTCATTTTTATTTTTATTTGTTCATTTTGGTTTTTTGAGACAAGATTTCTCTGTGTAGTCCTGACTGTCCTGGAACTCACTCTGTAGACCAGGCTGGCCTCAAATTCACAGAGATCCACCTGCCTCTGCCTCCCAGGTGCTGGGATTTAAGGTGTCACCACCATAGTCAGCAGTTTGCACAATTTTTGTTCCTTTTCCCTTCAGAGGTCAGAAGAGGGCATTGGATCCCCTGGAACTAGATTGAATGATGGTTGTTAAGCCACCTTGTGGGTGTGGAATTAGAACCTGGGTCCTCTGCAAGAGCAGCAACTACATTTTACTGCTTAGCCATCTCTCCAGCCACAAAACTAAATTTAGAAAATTATTACTTTACTGTTTTATGTGTATGAGTGTCTTGCCTACAGATATATCCATGCACCATATGTGTGTCTGGTGCCCATGAAAGCCAGAGCCAGATGGTTGTGAGCTGCCACGTTAGGTGCTTTCTCTAGTTCCCCTTAAAACTGTATTATACTACATTGTATGAAATTATTGAGAAGTCATTTAAAAAATAATTTAATGTTTATGAGCAGGTTTAGTGTTATATACTAGCACTTAACTAGACTGAAACAGGGAGATTAAGTGAGGGTGTCCTGAGCTACATAGTTCTAGGCTAGCCTGAGCTACAAAGGAAAGACCTTGTCACTAAACAAAAGTTGGGAATGTGTGTTTGTAATCCAGTTTCCTTTTGAAGTGGAAAAAATAAGAATTACAGCAAATGAGGTTGGAGAGATGGCTCACCAGTTAAAATAAGCACTTGCTACTCCTGTAGAGGACCTGGGTTTGGTTGTGAGCATCTACATCGTGTGGTTCACAATAGCTATAACTACAATTCTGAGGGATCCAGTGCCCCCTTCTGGCCTCCTTGGGCACCCACACACTTGTGTGCTTATACATACGTGTACATATAAGTAAAATAAAAACCTACAAAAGAGAATTGTAGTAAGTAAATGCCATGTTGTAAAATGTTTCACCCAATATATTAATTCTCAAGCAAATGTTGTAACCTAGTCTTGATTTTCAGTCAAGATAAATCTCATTTTTATCTTTTTTTTTTTTTTCTTTTTTCTTTGAGGCTTCAGAGGTTGTCCTGGAACTAGCTCTTGTAGACCAAGCTGATCTTGAACTTGAACTCTTAGAGATCCACCTGCCTCTGCCCCTCAAGTGCTGGGATTAAAGGAGTGTACTGCCATCACTTGACTCTCATTTTTATCTTAAAAGATTTATTAATATAATGTGAGAAATCCTGAAGGAATGGAGAGATGACTGATTGGTTAGGAGTACTTACTGCAGTCCCAGAATATCAGAATTGGGTTCTCAGAATTGAGTGGCTTATGACTGTAACTATGGTTCCAGGAGATTTGATGGCTCTAACCTCAAGGGGCTCCTGTACTCTTGTATACATACCTATACATAGTAAAAAATAATAACAAGTAGTAAAACCCATACAAAGATGTAATGATGGTTAGCAGTGGCTTTTTGCCATCTCAAAGTATGCTTGACACTAGGGATCTAACAATATATATATATATATATATATCTTAAAATTTGACCAGATACAAAAAATCTCTTATTTCTGTTTCTTTTCCCCCCCAGACAGGGTTCTAAGTGCTGAATAGGCATGTGCCATCATCCTTGGCTTAAATTATCTTTACCATAGATCACTTTGACATGAAACTTAATTGCATTTGTGTTGACATTGTGTTTGTACACATCTGCATGCTCCTGCATGTGCCACAGCATACAAGTTGGGGGACATCTTGAGAGTCTATTTTCTCTTTCCACTATTGGGTCAGTCAGGCTTGACAGCAAAGTACCTTTACCTACAGAGTCATCTTGCCTGCCCTACATCTGATTTCTTTGGATCTCTTTTTAATTTTATTTTGAATGAGAAGTTAACATTTGAGTAAGATTGAAGAGTTGAATGTAGTATCATTTAGGACCCTTTTTTTTTTTTTTTTGAGTGTGAGAGTGTCAGTATTTAATCCAGGGACTCATGTTGCTAATCTATATTCATTCCACAATTGAATGAGCTAGATCCACTTTCCTGGGACCCTAGTTTATTCATGTGTGAAAAACTGGTTTATGTAATTATAATGAGGGGGTTGTAGATTTGTTTCTACCAAGTAAGCTTTTAGAGAGATTTGTATTTATCCAGATTGAGTGAGTCAGTTGCTTACTATTAGTAATAATATGATTCCTTTCTCAGATGTGTTAATGAATACATCCTGGGCACAGACAGTAGAAGACAACGGTACTGGTGAGGATCAAGAAGAGTCAAATGGATTAAACACAGACATTGCAGATGGCTCACATGATGGTCCTTTTGCCAATACAAATGAAGAAGAACAGTTCAAAGTAGAGGAAAAACAGCTGGACCATACTAACATAGACTAATACAGAAATGTCCCAAGTAGCCAGATTTCTACAATAGAATCCTGCAAGTTTGGGATTATTTGTAAATCTTTCTAGTTTGTATAAGTCTGAGTCATATGATTTCATATGGATTCCTGCTTAAAATACAATGTGTCTCCTAGCTATTTTAATACATCTATTATTTTTGGTGTTCTGTATAAATTCAGCTTTATAAGCTGTTTCTAGTTTGCACTGAATTCTTTCTCACTAAATTGGGTAATATTTTAAAATGTAAATGTGCACTGCCTATTAAGGTCTGTTTTTATAAAGAAATGGATTTTGCAAACAACTCTCAGGATTTGCGTTTCTCACCATACTTAGTTACATACTTTAAACTTTTCCTAAAATGGTTAAGGGTTTTGACTATAGTTTTGTTAAGACCCACTCTCGTTACATCATCCTGACTGGTCTGAAATTTGTGGTGAACCTCCCTATTTTTGCCTTCAAGTGCTAGGACTGTAGGTGTGTGTGTCATGTGGTCTTTTCTCCAGTACTGTAACCTTAGCTGGTCTGAAAACTCATTGGGATCTGCCTGCATTTGCCTTGTGTGCTATCTAGAAACTAAAGTTGTGTGACACAATACTCAGCTTGCCTGTATTTTGAAGGGTTGCTTTAATATTTAAAAGATCACATCCAGGGTTGGTAATGCCTTCCTATTAATGATGGTAAGTGAGTTCAGGGATGTTTATAGGTTGAGAATGTGCTAGAGGGCTTGTGTAGGGTGTGTGAGATAATGGGTATGAAACTCCAGCATCTCCAGAAAACAGAATGGTCCTTTTGTGTTCCTGATTCATTTGTTGGAGAGAAACTTGGAGAATATTGTGAGGGTCAGTATTCAGCAAGGGGTCACATGAAACAGTTGTCAATTGGTAGAGGGGATTCTGTGTATTGGGAAGCATGCGTGTAATGCCAGAAATAAAGGAAATAAAGATTTGGAATGATGACAAGGAGGCGTGGGGCCAGATGAAGAGGACCTGACTAGAGCGTGGTGGAGGGGCTAACTCAAGCTGAGAAACACCAGGTTGAGAAGTTTATGGTCTGGTTCTTAGCAGCAAATACCCACTAGAATTGGGGAAAAGACTGAAGATGGAGGAGATAACCTTTAGTGACAAAGACAGTATAGTTCTAAAGAAAAAAGTCTCTTGCTTCTTCCTTAGGGTGGTAGTGCTACAGTGGCTTCCATTCCTAAGCTAGGATAGGTGACATCTTGGGTTGACATCAGATAAGTTGGGAGTAACAAAGATGGTTTGGAAAGCCAGGAAGTTGGGCATAGACTGAGTTGTGGGCTTATGGGAACTATCTCAGTGATTGACCAGGGAAAAAAATACATCAAGAGGACAGGATTACTGTTAAAGACAGGGAACAGCCAGAGGATGAAGGCTGGTCTCAGCATGCCCCTGATATCTGGAGAAAGCTTACCAGGAAGGCTGCATCACTTCCAGGCACACTCACTAGCTAGATCAGAGAGAAGGGCAGGTGGGAGAAGTATTACTTTTCCAGTGGTGAATTTGGGAACACTTCTCCAGGGCCCGGCCATTGGATGTACAGAATAGAATTTGAGGGTGGGATAGGAGTTTGGGTTAGATTTATACCACCCTCTTGATGCCCTGTGTCCATCTGGTGCCAGAACAATTGGGAAATTGTGAATCAAACATGAAAAAAGTTTTGAAGAAGGCAGAACTATATTACCTGAAATGGCTAAATGGTATCAGAGGGGCCTGGGATCTAAATATGACTGTAGAAATGGCAAAAGTAAACTTCATTTAAATCAATTTGAGCCAAGTTTGGTGGCACATATCTTTAATCCCTATAGTTCAGAGGCAGAGGCAGGAGGGGCTCAGTGATCAGGCTAGCCAAGACTACAAAGAAGACCCTGTATCAAAAAACTAAATTGATTTGTGGCAAGATAATTTTGGATTTGCTATAAGGAGACTAGCAACCTGCCTTTTGCAGCCCCATCACTGTCTATTCAACTGCTGAAAAGCCAATTTCTAGTAGCCAGGAGTAGTGGGGCATGGCTTTAATCCCAGCGTTTGGGAGGCAGAGACAGGTGGATCTCTGAGTTCAAGTTCACGCTGGTCTATGTATTGAGTTCTAAACCAGCCATTGCTATATAGTGAGACCCTGTCTTGAAAAAAACAAAACAAAAACAAAACCAACAACAAAAAGCCAGTTGATATGGGGAGTTAATTCTACTTCAATGAGGTATGGGACCATTGTACAAATATGTGAAATACCCACTTAATCTCCTTCAGCTAGAATAGCAAGTGACAACATTTAAGTTTGAAAAGACAGTACAACACCTAAGACAAATTCTTTATTGAAGCAGAAGTATTTCACATTACATAACTGTCTGAAACATCCAGAAGAGCAAGGTCCCTTATCTCCTCCAGAAGTGTGTATAGACTTCTTCCCTTTGTTTGGCAGAATTCTTGATACTCCTTCTGAAGCACCTTGCCTTTGACTTCTTGGGCAAGCTGAGCTTCTTCCACAGATCGGGTTACTTCTTTCACTAACTCACTTTTCAGCAAGAGGGAGTTCTGATGACTCAGTTCTGGGTTTGGTGTCATATATGGTTTGTTGCTTATTATTTCAAGCCTGATTGTATCAGAATGGCAACGCAAGGCCTGGACAGATATTCTTACCTAGCACAGAGAAATACATGTTACTACATCATGTCCCTTTTTTTCTTCACATTGAAAACAACATTGAATATACACAGACTTACTGTTACATGGTCAAACAGATGAAATGTAACAGACTGCCCTCCAGCTGTGGTAGAGGTGATCTTGTTCTGAGATCGTTGCAGGGATCCTGGCTTCCATTTGGAGCTGCCATCTGGGCCACACGAAATCACTAAGCCATCTTTATTCTTTAGATAAGCAGCACCTTTAATCCCAAACCTAAACCATCATTTGGGTAAAACCAAGATAATGTATTCTTAGTATGCAGATCTATGCTTAGCCACTCTTCCTGTGGTTCACCTCCAAAAAACCTTTCTACAGAAGCAGATAAGAAACAATGCTTTGCTAGCTAAGATCTAAGACTGATATAGATAAGCACACATGTACTAATTGCTCCTGTTATTTTCTGACTGTGTATTACACTCTACATACAGTAATCTTATGAATAGTGTATATATGTAGCATTGTATAGGATAATATATAGTGAGTTTGTTTGAGAAAATCTCACTCTGTAGCTGTGGCTGGCCTAGAGCTTGCTTTGAAGACCAGGCTGGCCTTGAACTCAGAGATCTGCTTGTGTCTGCCTCTTGAGTGTTGAGATTAAAGGCTTATGCTTATATTCTTTTATCAGAGATAAGGTCTTATATAGTGTAAGCTGGCATCAAAATCATTGTGTAGCCACAGATGACCTTGAACTTCTGATCTTGCTTTACAGGCTTATGTTACAACATCTGGTTTTATGCTGTGCTGGGACCAAACCCAGGACTTCATATGTGTTAGGCAAGCACTCCACCTTTGAGCTACACACCCCCAGTCTAAGTAAATACCTTAATAAGTTATATATAATGTATCATTTGTATTCAACACTGCTATAGTTTAACTGCGATTTCTCATTAACCACTGCATGAGAAGTAACATACCTTGGTATGAATACAAGCACACCATTTGTTCTAATTGAATAAATTACTCCATCGGCCATACAGCGCTCCTCTGTTTCCGGGTCTCTATCTTTAAAGTACATGCACTGGAAGAGCTCAGTGGACTGCTTCTGAGAATGTTGGGCTGCCTGTAAGAAGCACAACCCTGAGCATGACAATAGAGTTCCCTGACGTCCAGGAAGAAACCCGAAACTCATTCCCACAGAAACAGCTTTTAAAAGGGTGGGATTCAACAGTGTGGTGGTGTAAGCCTGTAATCCCAGTATTTTGGAGGCTGAGACAGCAGGATGAGCCATCCAGAGTAAGCTGGATCAACTAAACCAAAGAAAAAGAGATAGCAATCCCATCTCAAAAAAGAAAAGAAAGAAATAAAATAAATAAAATAGATCAAGCAGCAAGGTGAGACGTGAAGGGAAGACTCAATGGGTAAAAGCTCTTTCACCCAAGTTCAACCCCCAGAACCCATGTAAAGCTGGATATGGTGGCACATATCTGTAATCCCAGCGTATTCCTACTCTGATGAAAGGCAGAGACTGGAGAATTAGCCAGAAGCTTACAGCTGTATTCAACAGCTATTCTAAAGTGCACAATGCACTCCTTACACACACACATACTAAGACTGATGAGATGCTTGGTGGTTAAAAAGGCACTTACTGCCAAACTTGACAGCTAGAGTTCTATATCTGGGATGAAGATGGCAGAAGGAGATTAGCAACTCCCACAGATTATCCTTTGACTTTCACTTGAATGTACAGATACATACACACAATAAACAAATAAATAAATGAATAGAATTTAAGAGGTTTTAGAGTTATGAAAAGTTAAGTCAGGCAGTGGCAGCAGTGGCGGCAGCAGCAGCAGCAGCACATGCACGCCTTTAATCCCAGTATTATGGAGGCAGAGGCAGGTGGATCTCTGAGTCAGTTCCAGGACAGCCTGGTCTACATACAGAGAACATCTCATCCCTCCCCACCAAAATCCTAGACAATGCTAACTTTTTTTTTGGGGGGGGTGGGTGGGCAGGGTCTCACTACTATGTAGCCCTGGCTGTTCTGGAACTCACTATGTAGACCAGGATGACCTCAAACTCAGAGATCTGCCTGCCTTTGCCTCCCAAGTGTTGGAATAAAAGGCATTCTGCCTCCATGCCTCTCTCTTTCCATTTATATAACTTGGTAATTTAAACCAGGCTAGCCTCAAACTTTAACCTGCATGCCTCAGACTCCTGAATGATGGGGTTACACCATACCCAGCTGCTTGAATCTTTATATCTCTATCTTTTTGGACAGACCTCTAATCCACTGTCAAGCCTCTAATGCTAAGTCTGGCATAGAACATAAAGAGGCTGAACTGGAAGGTCTCTTGAGTTCCCTGAGTGAAAACTCAGCCTGGGAAAAAACAAGTCCTCATCTGAACAAAACAAAACTGCCAGGCATGTAAGTACATACCTTTTATCCCAGCACTTTGGAGGCTGGTGGATCTCAGAGGCAGAGGTCTATATAATGAGAC